TGGAAATGCAGGTTTTATGTGGGTAAATATTTAAGTATTGAAGAGCAGAGAGGTCAGCTTGAGGACTAAGGTGTGCCTGACCCAGGCCATGGTGTTTTCAATAGCCTCATATGGATGCGAAAGCTGGACAGTGAATAAGGAAGATCGAAGAAGAATTGATGCCTTTGAGTTGTGGTGTTGGAGGAGAATACTGAAAGTGCCATGGACTGCCAAAAGAACCAATAGATCTGTTTTTGAAGAAGTGCAGTCAGAGTGTTCCTTGGAGACCAGGATGGCTAAGCTTCGTCTCTCATACTTTGGACATATTATCCGGAGGAAACAGTTGCTGGAGAAGGATGTCATGATGGGTAAGGTGGAGGGTCAGAGAAAAAGAGGAAGACCCCTAACGAGATAGACTGGCCAGGTGGCATCATTGATGGACTCAAGTGTGGCAGCGTTAGTGAGGTTGGCCCAGGATCGGATATTGTTTCGTTCTGCTCTGCATGGGGTTGCTATGAGTCGGTTCCGACTCAATGGCACCTGACAACAACAACAACATTGCTTTATAAAAGAGGATAAAAATATATATTGATTTGCCAATTTTCCTAAAAAGAAAGATACATGTTTAGTCAAAAAATGAAATCCACTGATATCTTACAAAATAGTATGCATAAAGGTGCAGTGTCATTTTCTTAATATGCTATCTTGACACAGGTTTGGGGCGTTGGCTGAAAACTAGTCAGTACCCCTTTCTTGAGTACTTTATTAAGCTCACTTTCAACCGTTTCCTTATCAGGTCCCCACACTCTTGGACCAGAATGTACCTGCCCTAACCACCCATAACCAGGTACCCAACAATTCAGGACAGTCCCTAAACCTTCTGAGCCTACAAAATCATTAAGAATGTCCAATCCCCAGGAAATATGCACAACCTGGCTAAGCCCATCCTACTTTCCATACATAGCCCTCTTCTGCAATTCCAGCTTATTGTTACCTTGTCCCCAGATGCAACCTCCCAACCTTGTGGTCTTGTGTCATAGCATGCTTTACCTCACTGTTTGTGAAAACTGTGAATATGATAAACCTAGTTACTTTTTGTGTTCTCCTTGGACCTCCCCTGACTTAAATTACCACTTTCTCAAAACACAAAAACTTGTATTTTACATAAAGGTGAAGACAGTAAAACAAAATGAACATATAGTACCTTGGCTGGCGTATGAATCCATATTGCTGGGTTGAGAAGAATATGATCACACAACTGCTTGAGTAGGGGCATTCCATTCTGCAGATTACTAAGATACTTTGAAAATGCAAGGCAAAGTTCAAGAACTCCTCTGCTGACATGAGATTTGGACGACTGTGAAAACAAAGTAGTTCAAAAACTCAAATCAAGGCAAGTAAATTATTAGCTGTCAATACCAGCAAATAGTTGATCCAAAACTATATTCAAATTAATGATGCCACGAGTCTCAAAATTACATTTGTTCTAATGCTGGAATACTTAACTGCTGTCGAGTCAGTTCCAACTCACAGACAGTTTCCAAGGAGTGGCTGGCACAACTGAACTGCCAACCTTGTGGTTAGCAGTCCCATGCTTATCCTACAGTGCCACACCAGGAATCCAAAAGAATACTGGGAAAAGGTATAGCAACAAAACACTAATTCTAATGACTGTAATTTTATATCACAAAGAGAAATACTTAACAAGGATATATAACTGCTTAGCTGCTTAGCAGTCCAAATCTACGACCTAAAAATTAAGAATAAAAAAGTTACAGCATTTCATACTTTACCTTTTCAAGACTATATCCTATTACCAAGAAGCCCTTACAAGCAAGCATTTGCTCCTGCATAGCAATTGAGTTCTTCAACAACTCCATGATAAAAGCCATCAGGGTTGAACTGGAAAGAAAAAAAGATAAGGCTTGAAAAACGTAATTTGTATTCAAACATGCAGACTCCTTTATTTTAATAGAGTCTTCTAAAGGAAATTGAAGGTCTACCAAAATTGCTTCCAATATTAATTTCAGAACTGGAAAAAAATAGCAGACTTGAAAAATATAATTTCTAGTCAAACATATAGCGTCTTTCATTTTAATAGAGTTCTCTAAAGGAAATTAAAGGTCTACCAAAACTGTTTCTAATATTAATTTCAAGTCTATAATTGTAATGCAGTATTAGGACTTAATCAAATATTTGGTGTATTTTTTTTTAAGAACAATCAATAAATAACTTAAAAATATGACAAACTTGTATGAAGTAAAGAAAAGGTATCAAGTTCTAAAAACAAATAAAAAATTGGCTAACATAAATATACTCAGGCCTTCATGGTAACTTAAAAAAGCAGGTATATTCAAGTTTAGAGAGTCTGGCACCAAAAAGAGAAAAGATGTGAACAGCAAAGGTCTAGGGTGAATATCTTCAGTTTTATTATGGTTCCAGACTAGTCTAGTTTGATTTAAGCAGAGGATTTCATGAGACAAAGATAAGAAAATAAAACTAAATTGGTAGAAAACTTAACACTAATTTAAGAAGTTTGTTCACTATCCTAACAGGAAAACTGTAATTCACCAGTCCATCTGTTAACACCTTACTCCAATCCCCACAACTGTTAAGACATACACAAAATGGATGGAAACAAAACCAACTATGATCTCCTTCTCAGAGATTGAAAGATCATCACAATAAGAAACAGCAAGATTGTCAGTCAACTTTCTCATCATCAGTACTTTTATAACTGCAAGCAACTCCAAGATACTGCAAAAGCAGAAAGAAGCATAGCCTGAGAAATTAATTGAGCACCTACAATTACAGTTTTAGATTTAGTCACCAAAAAAAAAAAAAATCCTTTGAAATATTCCACGTTATTAAGTGCTTCAGAGTCAGTTCTGACTCATAGCAACCCTATAAAGGGCTTCCAAGAGAGTAAAATCTCTACAGCAGCACAAAGTCTCATGTTTCTCCTGCAGCTCAAACTGTACATGACCTGATTAGCAGTTCACTATTTATCCTATGGAACCATCACACTACCAAGAAGAACTACATATAAAAAAGTAATTTCTCAATATATTCATTTCGTTTTTCAAAAAAGTACTTTTCTTATGCAAAAATAAGATAATCTGCCTAAGATATTCCATCATTAACTATGTACATATGCAGTAGACACCATGTCACAAAAGCAGAAATCAAAGAGAGAATTTAAAATAGAAAATTGATTTAAATTTTCCAAATAATAAATCAAACAACTATTTTGCTGTTATACTTTCACTACAAAATATAAGTTCAAAATCAGACATAGGAAATTTATTGAGACATTCTATATAATATTATATAACTTATTGCAGAATTTATATGCTCCTGAATTTGCTAGATTCAACACTATAATAGAGGAGACCAAATGGCCAAATGCCAATCTAATAACAAAAAAATACTAAATCACCTTTTATCTAGCACCATCAAAAATCCTGACTTTCTACTACTTACATGAATAAAAAATTAAAATACAAAAAATTAAAATGTAGGAAGCTACACTCCCAAATAACAATTTAAAACACTGTTTACAATTTAGCAAAAGTTTAGATAAAATATATTCATTTTTTATAAAATTATTATCACTTTTTCTAAAACATGACTATGTGTTTTAGAGTTTCTATATACTCTATGGTAAACAACAATCTACATTAATACAGTTGACTCTTGGACAACACAGGTTTGAACTGCACACGTGCACTTAAAAGAAGGAATTTTTTTTAATGCCACATGAGCAGTTTGTCTCTCCAGTAAATTGCATATCGGAATCAAATGAGATCTCTCTTGGTTCTCACATAGTCATCCACTGCTTTTAGTGCAATTTAGTAAACTTTGTAAAATACCATATGCCATGCCACCAATGATGCTGGAAAGTGCTTCCAAGAAGCAAAGAAAAGTCATAACATTATAAGAAGAAGTTAAATAGTTTTATAGGTACCAAAGATTGTAGTCTACATTTATGTTTGCATGCCATTTCAAAAAATCAATAAATCCGGCATGAGGGTCATTGTTTAAAAAAAAAGAAAGAAAGAAAAGGAAATCCATAATATCTTTGCTACAGCTATGCCAGCAGGTGAAAAATCCTTGCTTTTTTTGTAAAATACCTTTTTTATCTCATACTGGAAATGCAGGTTTTATGTGGGTAAATATTTAATACATATAACATACACAATATGTCTTCATTGACTGTCTAATGTTATCAGTAAGGCTTCTAGTCAACAGCAGGCTAACAGTAGTTAAGTTTATGTGGAGAGTCAAAAGTTAAGGTCAATGCCCTAACTAACCCCTGTGTTATTCAGGGGTCCACTGTCCTATTACTGATACAGGTTTGCAATGCCATTTATAATTACACATAAATTTTGAAGTCTCTTCTTACACTACCACAAACTTGAAAGGCATATAAGACAATCATGCACTCAAGAGTTATGAAAGTAATTTTCACACCAAATTGGAGAAAAAATTAAGGTACTCACCATATAGTTAAGTCAACCTCATCAGACAAATATTGCCTAAAATCCAATTGTGCAAAAAGTGGAAAAAGCACTTGTACTCCTCCAATTGAATGCATAGCACTTTGGATGGAATGTGTTAAAACTGCCTTCACATCCTTAGAAAACAGAACGAACATATAGCAAAATTTACAAACTTTTTTTTTCCAAAACAATGAAAAATAAAGCACAGCTGCAAAAATAACAACACTAAAATGTAGCATCCATGTTTATAAAAGCTACAAAATACACCTAAATAAGACATCAAAATTTACCTTTAAAAATATAGTTAAAAAATCACAGTTATTACCTGGAGCATGAGGGAATGAGGTGAATGGACGAAAATTGAAGGGTTATCTTTAGGGGACGATTCAAGGCAGAGCTGGGCATCTGTAGCCCTTGGATTGTATGTGAACGCAATGGCACTAGAGAGTTTGCCATCGTACAGTAAAAGTTTGTGGTGCTCAGCAAGGAAGAGATCACTTTCTGCTTTGAATTTAAAGGTACCCTAAGAATCCAGAGAAAAGAGAACAGTTATGAAAATATGCTGCAATAATAAAATCTAAATACAAGCCAGCACAAATATAAATATTTAAGGAGGAATACCACTAGCAATTTTTCTAGCAATATAAAATAAGAGGAGCACAAGCTGTCTAATTACTTTAAAACAGGAAGAATAAAATGGTATAATGGAAATGAAGTCAATTTGACATTAAAATCTCATATTACTAAAATATAAAATTTAGTATCCAAAAGAGCATATTTTGTCTTTAAATAAGAGTTCTAAAAAAATCACCAAAACCAACCCAACTTATTGGGACCCTACAGGACAGTTGTTGTTGCTAAGTGTCATAGAGTGGATTCCAACCCATACGGACCCTGTATAGGGTTTCCAAGGAGCAGCTGGTGAGCTTCAACTGCCAACCTTGCAGTTCAAACAGCTTTGCAGTCTGGTGCATTAACCCACAGCGCCACACCAGGACTCCTGTAGGACAGTATGGAACTACTTTTTAGAGTTTCCAGGGATGTAAATCTTTACAAGAGCTGACAATTTCATCTTTTTCCCTTGCAGCTTGCTGGTGGGTTTGAGCTGTGTCAACCTTACCATTATTTAGCCCACTGTGCCATCAGAGCACTTTATTTTAGAGTAGGAAAAAATAATCCCCAAACAGAAGATGGACTTAAAAGTTTTCTATAGTGATATTTCTGGCTATTCCTTTCTCTCCCCCTCAAGTGTCTTATTTTATAATGGTCCATGTCAGGAAAATCAGTATTCAAAAACAGCCAAAAAAAAAAAACAAAAACAAAACAAACAGCCAAGCATCTTAACATTATTTCCCCCCCTTTTCCCCATTCCAACCATGTCTTAATCCCTGTATCCCAGAGCCCTGTTGTTCCAAGGTTGTGCATACATTATTATTTACCTCTGTCCCACTTAGCCCATGCAAACCTGCCTAATTGTTTTCCCATCTGACCTGTTCTTCCATTCCTCTTCCCCTTCTTGTGTATTGCCTCCCTCCCTAGCACCCAAACTATCCTGTGTCTATGCCCTGCCCTGTGCTCCACTTTCCCCTCCCTCCCCTTAACCATCCCTCATATTCCAGGAACCAGCAAAGAAACCACCCCATCCCCCACCCCCACCCTTTAGTATGGGTTCTTTTCTTAAGTCTTTTACAGTAATGGTCCTATGCAGCATTTCTCCTTTTGGACCACTCAGATTCTTATATGAAACTTTCAAACAGATGTGATAAAACTTATCACACTGATCCATTTTTCAAATAACTTCTGCCTCATAAATAACTGATAAATTTTAAAAACATAATATTCTCTAAAAGAATTTTTAATGAAAGTTCATTAAAGTGAAGATTTTGTCATGCACTTATTTAAAATAAGTGACTTTCCAGAGGAGACTATGCTCTGGACAACATAAAAAAGGTGACCTTTTATTGTGTTCTTCAAATACTAGCCACAGGACTGTGGAGATTATGTAACTACCATGCCAGAAACAAACTACATAGTCCAAAGAAATTAAATGAATGTTAGAGTCCACAAAGTTCATTTATAGCAGAGTAAGGAGCTCTGGTAGCTTAATGGTTATGAATTGGGCTGCTAATCTCAAGGTCAGCAGTTCGAAACTACCAGCTGCTCCACAGGAGAAAGATGAGGCTTTCTATTCCCGTAAAGATTTACAGCCTCAGAAACCCAATACAAGGTCACTATGAGTCAGAATCAACTTGACAGCACTTAACAACAAAAGACTAAATACCACTTTAAGAAAAATAATTTACTTTTTTGGCAGTGCTACAGACAAATATTTGATGATACATTTTGGAAAACAAACAGGTACGCAGATTTCATTTGCATTCTGTGTGGAATTTACGGGTATTTGTTTCTAAAAATAAATTTTTACCACTTTATACTGTTTTTTTTTATTTAGTTATTCGTTTGTTAAGTACCACTGAGTCAGTTCTAACTCATAGTGACCCTGTATAGGATTCCTGAAAAGCAGCCGGTCTAAGTTTGAACCACCAACCTTGAGGTTAAGTGCTTACTCTCCAGTGCCAAAAAAAAATAGAGAAAAATTAAAATCAGTTCAATTTCTTTTTTTAACAGAAGAAAACCTAACCTAGGATAAACAAGCAAAAAAAATAAACTGTCAAATATTTTTATGTTAATAATCACAGCCTGGATATTTTTAAAATCTACAATATAGAATATTTTTGTTGTTGTTAAGTGTCTATCTGCTACCATAAAGACTTACATTTTCAGAAACCCTATGAAGCAGTTCTTCCTCTGTCCTGTAAGTCATATGAATCAGAATTGGTTTGGTGGTAGTGGTGGTTATGTGCCATGGAGTCAGTTCTGACTCTGCATAGGGTTTCCAAGGCTGTAAATCTTTATGGGAGCAGAAAAACCTCATCTTTCTCCTGTGGAACAGCTGGTAGTTTTGAACTAGCTGGACTTTGAGGTTGGCAGCCCAACTTGTAACCACTACATTACCAGAGCTCCTTAATTGGCTTGGTAGCAGTCGGGTTTTAGGCCAGAACCCGTGACCTGGTTACCTTGGCACACAGTTGGGTAACCAAAATTATTGACCTCATGCGTCACCACTCATCAAATTAAGCTTCTCTAGCCCAGGTTAAGCAGTAAATGGAAGTAAAGTACCTTGTATCCCAGGCCCAACTGATAAATAGCAAATATTTGAGCTGCATTAAGAGCTTCACTAAAAAGGTAAACTGCAGTCATCTGACCACAGAACACTCTATTAGCATCTGCTGTTTCTGAGGAGCCCAGGAAGCATTTGTCAAATGTCTGTGAAAGAAAACAGATTTCATTAGCCAAAAACCAGAAATAGTCCCTCCTCCATAAATAATAAAAATCTACACTGAAATAAATGTTTCATCCATTCAGAACTAAAAACTGGACAGATTAAAATAATTCATTTAGCATTTCACTTCATTTGTTCCCATTTGAAGTGAAGATCAGGAAAGGCATCCTAGAAAAGGAGGTAAACAATTTTTCTATAGTATCTTAAGTAAAAACATTATGAGTAATTAGATGCAGGACAAGGATTATGGAATCTGAAAGTTCATGCTGGCATATCTGGTAACGAAAGACCCAGAAAAAGTACAGGCTTCAGACAAAGGGAGAAAACAATAAGTCTGTAACACACTGAATCAGTTTTTTCTGTGAGCTAATCTGATGGAACAGAAAAATTTAACAAGCAGTAACTAATAAGGCACAATATATTGGGTGAGAAGTTAAAGTTGGAAAGACAGATATTTGCAGACATCAAGATGGTAGGTGAAGTCATCAGAAAAGATGTAATCTCTGAAAAGAAATGTGTAAGTCAAGAAAAGCAGGTTTATGTTTTACTTTTTCAAAAAAATATATACCTATTAATAATATCTGGGTCACAAAGGGCACATTTTTACAACTCATGTATACAACAGTGAGGAAACAAAGTTTTTTTAAAATTCATTTAAAACCACCATTCATATTGTGAGACTATTCATTCCTGTATTAATGAATTAAATTCCTAACCACATCATGATTATAAAAAGCCATTTGTGGAATTCCAAAGGTTTTCTGTAAGTCCTAAAATATTTCATTTTAAAGGTTACTACTTTAAATTTATTATTATTTTTTTTAATGTAACATTTTCACACTACTTACATCACTGGTGTTAACAAACCATGTTATCTCTCCATAGGAAGCTAGCTCGCCATTCACATAACATCGAAGTTCACTGTTCTTCCACCGGTTATAAATGTGCACTATAGTTACCATATACCACTGAAAGAGCAAGAATAATTTTCACCAAAAAGATAAGAATTTTCCCAATAACTTAACATATTAAAAATAACAAGTAAAACTTAAATGATAAATGCAATTAAACTTAAAAATATGACAGACCTAATTTTGTGAAATTCAATATTAACCTCTAACAGTATTTATTCAAGGAGTAGCATAGTGGTTACAAATCAGGCTGTTAACCTCAAGGTTAGCAGTTTGAAACCACCAGCTGTTATGTGGGAAAAATATGAAGCTTTCTGCTCCTGTAAAGGTTTTTACAGCCTCGGAAACCCTGTACAGGCTCTCTATGAGTTAGAACTGACTCCACGGCACAAAACCATCATGCAACTGATAAAAATTGAATCTCAAAATTCTTTTTCCAAAATTTTATTACAAAAATATTTTTTTAAAAGTTGAAAGTTTAATACAAACACCCTCTCTCCTACCATGTAGATTCCATACTTGTTAACATTTTGCCATGCTATGTATG